CACGACAATTTAATAGAGTTAGCTGCATGAAAATGCGCCCGAACCACCAATAAATTGAATTCTTCAGCTAATAAAAAAAATAGACAAGCAGCCGATGAAATTAGTATTTGTCAAGACATGCGCGAACGATTCAATTGTTAAATAATTAAATCAATCGGCGAATGTAATGTGCATATTTCATTTTGTGCAATCTATTTTTGTTTTAATTTTTACTACACTTCGTTCGCCCAATCCATTGCACAAATCTTATTTACTACTACTTAATGATTGGTTGATTATCATTTACCGTTGTGCCTACGATTACTCTGAATATCTCTCTTCTTCTTTGGATTTTTAGTACTACTAGCGTTTTTTTTGTCTTCTTTTTCTTCTATCATTAAAAAGTCGAGCACGAGAGAAAAGCGCGCGCTGATGATGTGAAATGCGGTTGCTCTTTTAAATAAAAAGTAATTTGGTTTGTTCGCCTTTGTCAGCGTGGAAATAAAAGGCAGAGCATCTAGTCTCTAGTCAAAGCGTAACCTGTGCAGAAAAAGAAGCAGCAAAAAAGCCGTTTGATGATGGCAGCAGCAGCGACGGCGGCTGCGGTGACTATCAACAATGTCGTAAATGTTGTAAATAATTTAAAAGGTATTTAAATAAGTCATTAAAACGATGAAGCTGCTGTGTCAACGTTTGCATCTTTTTCTCTCTCAGACTTTTCATTCTGAATCGTCACGTTTGCTGTTGTTATTTTTCCGTATTCGTCGTAAACAATTTGATTTGATGGTTCAACAACGCACAATCAACCTTTCGTTGTTCAATCATTGTGCTGTCGCAGTTTGGTGCTTAGCAGCATCAGCATCAAGCAGCTACTGTAAATATGAAATCTCTCAAAGTGTTGCATGTTATCGTCAGTTTGAAGAGGCATAAAAGTACATCTGAGCATGTGCACTTCGAGTACAAACACACACATTACCTGAATCGTTGTTGGTCGTGTGGGCAATTTTGAATGACTTGGCTTGGCTTTTGTCGACCAACTTTTTTTCGTTGTTTGCTGTGCCAAGTTGTTTCAAACGCAACATTTTATGCGTTGATCGTTAATAATAAAACGGCTGATGACTTCTGATGGATGCCAACTATAAAGTGCGATTTTTAATGTTCGCCATGCCGAGCAATTTTTATACGCGGATCACAAGAATCACTCTCGTAGAAATTGCATTGCGCCCCGTCAAGTATGCACACATCAAGCAGTATATCACTTTAGGGAATGACTACTATTTCGAGTGTACACGACAGACGCGGATCAATGAGAAGAGAAAAAAAATTGCAATCTGGCTGTCGCTAGAGATAGCAAAAGAGAAATAATAATATGAGAAGGGAGAAAGAAAAAAACTAACGATAAATTCTGTTGTCATTTACGACTGTGTTTGCGGAAAATAAAATCTTAATTTACGAATTACAATGTTGACACTTCGTTTCGTCTTCTTCGTTCCATTTTGATGCATATTTTCTTATGTTGTGTGAATGAGCGTTTGCTTAGACGACCATGACGACGATGACGACGACAGCGAATGTGCAAATAATATAGGCGTTGGTTAAGTACTTGAATAATTCATTCTCTCTTTAGCTTTATCAAGATTTTGTTTAGCTAATTGTCAAATGAAGTTGTTATGCAGATTGATTAAATGATTCCAATTGTTTTTTTTCTCTTTGTATTTACTCTTCCTTCGTTATGAATGAACTTTTTTGTAAACACTCGAAAAATGCATACAATATTCCATAGATGGTCTTGAAAAACGTTGAATGGCAGCATTTGTTTGATAAGCATTTTGAATCGAGTTGGCTTTGTTTCCATTGCATTCAATTCTATTTTTCACCCATTGGAATGTTTTCAAGAGATGCAATTTTCGCCGTGAAAAATGGACATTGTGGCAGAAGGAAAAAAAATGTTTTATTCAATGAAAAATACGTTTTATATTGCATCTCTTTTGTAAATTGTAAGTTATAAATCACGTGAAGAGATTTCTAAAACTGGTCCAGATCAGAGCACCGCTCGCCAGCACTTTCTACGGCGATTCGCGCCGCTATGGATGTATCATCAAAACATGTTGGCAGCAAAGCAAAGCACTCAATTGCACTAGAAAAGATGCTCTACTTTAAATTAAGATCTGCAGCGAAAAACCACATGAAATGCCGTCTATCGCGGCGGCTATATTTATTTAGCACTTATTTGATAGCACATTCAAACCAAGATATTGATTGCTGTTTTGCTTTTACAGCCACGTGAAACGACGACAATAACGCCGAGAAGAAGAAGAGAAATTTTCGCAAATAAAATTGATCCATATTTGAAAGAATGATAGTAGGCGCGCGATGCGATGGCACATGTAAGAGCATTCCAATTTTGATGTCAAACTCTGATATGTTGAAATGCTACAAAAGCCCAACAGACTTGTTCTACTTACTCGCGGGCAATTATTTTATTTGTGAAGTGGTTCCGTTTCATTCGACGCTCAAACGGAGTCGAATAATAATAATACTAATCAAATAACTTTGGCATTCGCCTCCCATCTTGCTTGTTTTTGATTTTTAATGCCAACCGATTTTAGACATCTCAAATAATTCAACCTAATTAATCATCAATAAAAAGCCTTTTGAGAGGCAAGAGAGAAACATGATAAATGTAGCGGATGATTTGAGCAATGGAAAAAGTGCTGTAAGTACATTTAATCCGGCTTATGAACGCGTCATGCATGTGGTTATTATAAATGGACTGGGTGATGTGTTTCAAATAATCACTGTTGGAAGGGCAAAAAAACGCTTTTCTGATCGCTGCCAATATATTATTATAAATTCTAAAGATTGTTTTCGAATCGAAGCGATTCAGGGGGGTTCAGATTTAGTTAGGAAAAGTTCGAAATTTATTCATAACATATTATGAGTTAATTACTGACCTCTGACTATACGGTCATATTTTTGCTGTAGACTTGTTATTTAAAAAAATTATCATCCACAGCATGTAGGTTGTGCGTATGCTTCAATAACAACAACACCAACAACAGAATACAGATTTAGACGAAACTATAAAAATGATCACCTTTTTCAACGATAAATTCGAAATGACAAAGTCGTTGGCAGAGCAAAAAAAAATTCTGATCTGATCAAGATTTGATGTCGTTCTTATGGACAATTTGCTTGACCGGATGCAAATTACGCAATATCTCAAACAAGTTTCCAGTTCACGATTGACTTGGAATTGATGTCACGAGCCGATTTTCATGCTCGCCATTTTTTGTTTCATATTTCCGTCGTTAAACCTCATATATTCACCTCGTTGATAGTTTTTTTTTCTAATACCGATATGTCATTGCGTAGTTTTTGATGTGATTGCATTTGCATATATGCATAATAGAAGAGAAGAAAAAAACACATCGAAGACAAAGCAGCCTCAATACATGCGAAATGCGTGATTGCCTTCGTTCGTTCAGTTGTTCGCTTGCGCTCGCGAAATCCCTTTCGGCAATCAATTCACAAACAATCTCATTGATGTGTTAAAAAGCCTAAATGTGTGCGCGCAATCGCTCAAAATCTTACTAATGAAATGTTCATTAGCACAATTAGCACCATTATTTGAAATGAATATCTCTCTCTCTATGCGCTCGGATTGAGAGCGTCGAATTAGACAAAAGGTAAATAAGATCGAGTGTGAACAAAATCATGTGAAACAAAATAGCTATTTACCGTTGTTCACTCGAGTGCAACAAAAATGAAACAATATGGAAATGGTGAGGAGAGTGAAAAAAAAACACTGTGTATAGGCAGTTCGTATAGGCGCCATGTGTGTGAGTGTGCAAAGAAAGACTGAAAAAAAAACGCTTCGCGTGTATACCTTTGGTACTAACATAATGGCTGTATGAATTTCATCGTCTTCATCTTCATCATTATCATCGTCATCGTCGTCGTCGTCGTCGACGCCGTCGCAACCACAATATCTGGCTTCATTCGCTGCGCGCGATGCGATTTACGTTCGATGGATTGCAGTCGACAACAACAGAAAAACTGAAGCAAAACAAATAATAGTCGCACGCTCAAGCTCCTCATGCCACATGTTTTTTTTTATTTCGTCTTCTCACATTCATTAGCACATATTATTATTACTTTGTTATTACACATTACGATTTCAGATTAGATATTTGTACCGTTTCGGATTACTTCTTCTGGTTTTTCACTTGCTCTTCTCTCTGTTTCTCTTTTCGCTGGGCTCTTCGACAGCCGCGTATTCACTTTTGTGTCATCATTATGATATTTGCGATGGATGATCAAATAATTATAATGCCATTAGAGCCGCATTTTGATTTCAATTTCACTAAGGCTTAGGCATTTTTTTTCTTCTGCGTTTTCGGTTGAGTGTTTTCTTTTCTCGGTTATATTCAGCCTGTTAGCGGCTCGACGAAAATTGAACCGTTTATTGAATACAGCAATTGTTTGTCTATAAATCGGATTCCCTAATTTCTCGTATTGCGTGTATTTGTTTTTAGATCATCGAAATTATAACGCAAACTCTATCTGAAACGATTCGTTTATAATTTTCGAAGAAGGTATTTTTCGCCGAAAAATGGTAGCATTCACGGTCAACCAACGGTTTGTTACTCAAACACTTGCTTCTCTATTGAAAATGAGCCTAAATACTCTGCCCATTGTAATTATGATTTCTCCCGATTCACTAGTATTTTTGGAAATATTTTCTAAAAATCGGTTGCTAAGTCTGAAGTGATGGAGTTATGAAAGACGCGTATCTTTCGCAGTAATGAGATGATTGATCAATGCCAGTACAAGTAACTTAATTGAGTAATTTACTGCAATTTATTCGTACTATGTCGATACGATTCGACTGAAGTTTTTGATTCGAATGGGGAGTGTTAAGCTTTTTGAACGAAAAAATATTGATACTAAATTAAAATTTATTTATTTGTATTCAAAATTGGTTAAGACTAACTTCCGATTTTTCCTCCTTTTCACAGAAACTTGCTGAATAGAAGAAACAAAACGCATTGACCAATCAACGAGAAGCATCAACTAGAATTCAAGGCGTCAAAAGAAGGACTGGAGGAAGTTCATGCTTATATTTAGATGTATAAAAAAATGCGCGAAAAGGATCACTCACCAAGAAAAATGTTACCGAGTCCAAAACAGGGATGCATTTATCCGATGCTGGGCTCAACTGTCTCGCTAGGAGTGCAAATACCATACGATCTGTCAACGTCGAGTCGATCGACAACGGCAAGCCTACTGCATTCGCTCAACAATGATCAACCATTAGACTTACGTGTCGATCATAAAAAATCGAACAATGTACAAATCGATGACGACCAGCAAAATCTATCGGCAAGCGACGATTCATCCGATGCCACAACCACAATCAGTGTTGCTCCGCTTTCAAATATCAATCGATTTCTCCATTCGAAACTAATTAATAACAATGATTTAAGTAGCAAGAACAATAATACGATTCATATGAACAACGGAAACCATCACAATCAACATGAGCTCGATGAAGATGACGATGACAACAACAATAACAGCAGGAGCAACAATAAAAATGCAAACGATGCGGTGCTGTACAGTGAAAGCAACAACAGTTTGGAGTTTCGAAAGAAGAATTTCAATTTAAAAGAAAATCTGCGATCATCATCAACATCATCGTCATCAGCATCATCGTATCACTTAGCGGCAAGTATGCCGAATGTGTTCTCAGCTCCAGCATTCCATCCGGCAATGCTTGAGGCAATGGCCAAAGCGGTGCGTTTACCATTTCCATATCGATTACCATACATTCCGTCGAATCATCGTCATTCACCAAACTTAGATTTGCTACGCATGAAACCAAATCAATTTTCCAGCTTGCCGCGAATTATGTCGCCGAACCACTTGTCATCGCTGACAGCCAACAACTCGTCAAGTACGGCAATTGGCGGTAATGGAAAATCGACAATGAATCACAATAATAATAATAATAACAACAACAACAACAATGACAGCACACCAAACGCAAACAAAATTGGCGGAAACAATCAATCCACATCATTGACAAACAAAAACAAAGATCGGTATTCATGCAAATTCTGTGGTAAAGTGTTCCCGCGTTCGGCTAATTTGACACGACATCTCCGCACACACACTGGCGAACAGCCGTACAAATGTAAATATTGCGAACGATCATTCAGCATTTCAAGCAATTTGCAACGGCACGTTCGCAACATACATAATAAAGAGCGTCCATTTCGTTGTGCACTATGCGAACGTTGCTTTGGCCAACAGACCAATTTAGATCGGCACATGAAGAAGCACGAGGCCGATGCGGCATCACTGGGGATTGGTATTGACGAACGACTAAGGACATCTAGGCGAAATGCAATGCATCGCGGTATGCCGGACGAATCGTATTTCGAGGAAATTCGTTCGTTCATGGGCAAAGTGACACAGTTACCAATTTCACTGCGATCACAAGTCACATCCGATGCACACACGAATTCATCCTCACGAAGCTCAACGCCGTTATCCGAACCGGGCTCATCACCAAAACGGATGGCATTCAATGGCGACGACCACGAACGAGATGAACAAGTTAAAGTTACTTGATTAAAACAGTGATATTCAACGGACACCGCAAGAGAAATCATAATTATTTTTTTTTGCTTTTTGCACGACTCAATTTACGATGCTCTCGAACAAATTTCTCAACCATATTTGCTCAATAATTGCCCAATACGGAAGACGTGATGTTGAATTTTTCTTTCTAAACTTTGTTTTACACATTTAGGTCTAATTTTGATATTGAAATCAGACATTTTTGCAAAATGACTTAATTTGAATGAAAAAATCATAATAAATATGTACTTTTAACGCCCATCAAATGGAGTTATTTATGCTGGATCATGCTGTAGAAGTAAAACTATAATTGTAAAATATTGCACAAAAATTGTTTCGTCTTTTTCCTACAGCTCAGAGCTGAATAGAGCTGCTGGTGTTTACGCGCTAAAGTACCAATTAATTTGTAAAGAACCTATTATTATCCTCTGTTAACTTTTTTATTTTTGGGGTAAACAAATCAATCCAAAACTAAAACTTCGTTACCCCTTCGTAAATATGAACGAAATCGTCTTTGTACCTATTGTTATCTGTTTTATGGTTGTTCTTCTTCTTGAATCATTTATTTTATTTTTCACTGTGAAAATGACTCTCTCTCTCTCTATCTCTCTTTTTATTTAAGCACAACTGAATGTTTCAAAAACAAAACGCAAAAAATTGGAATTCGATTCTTTTTTTTACGTTTAGACAAATAGAAACAAAAACAATGTATTGGATTTTATTAGTTTGTAAATTTTGCACATGATTTATTCAATTTTTGATTAAGTTTGCAACATAAACCTTTTTTTCTCCATAGTTTTAAGAGTATTTTATGTAAATAAAAAGATGAATTTTGGTTTAAATTGAACACGATTGAAAGGAAACTCAATTACATCATGCATGCTTAATGTTACCACTATACACATACGATATGCGATTTTATGGATTAAGTTCATTTCATTTTAGATTTTGCGCTAATGGTTTTTTTAGTTAATTTTATCTACAAAATATCGTACTATATCTAAGGCAAATTTGTATTTCATGAATAATTTCAAATTTTACCCACTCGTTTTCAATTTTAATTTTATTTTTTCTCTTCAAATATTGCTATTTTATTAATATATCGAAATTTACCATTCTGCTAGCAGAGGCGGAAGGAATTAGTTTTTCATTTAGTTTTTAATGTTAACGAATACAAATTTAAATATTCGTGTTCTTCTTTTTTAGCATTTTAAAATCGGAATTTATAAATTTATATATTTTTTTAACATCAAAATGATCTTTAGACATTTAGTGAATATGAAACCTTTTTTTACCTATTTACAAGAAATAATGTTGATTTGTTTAGGAGAAAAATAAATATAAATTCAAATATTTTAATAAAAATCAATAACATTCCGATGTTTTTTTTTCCTAGGGGAATATCACGAAAAAAATTCTATTGAATTTCTATTGATTTTTGCATTTTTTAAAAATTAATTTCAATTATATTACATTATGCGAGATATCTGAGATATTTTTCATTTTAGTCGATTTTAGCAGATATTTTAATGCTGGAAGTGGGTTTTGGCGGATCCTGAGGATCGTTCAGAACTGTTCCCGATTCTGGAAGTGGGTTTTGGTGGATCTTCAGGATGGACCAGACTGGGTTTGACAATACCCTGGCCCATCCTGAGGATCCACTTCCAGAACCGGGAGCATTTCTGAACGATCCTGAGGATCCACCAAAACCCACTTCCAGCATTAAAATA